GCTCTTTGTGGCGGACTTTATCGAAAGCCTTGTTGTAATCTATGAAACAGACGTACATATCTTGGTTCACATCCAAGCGTCTCTGAATTACGACATCGAATGCAAAGAGACTTTCACGGGTACCTACGCCTCTACGGAATTCAAATTGGGTTTCTTCAATATTCATATCAAGTATTTGGTAAATGCGTTTATGGATGATCTTCAAAAACATTTTTAGTGTGTGTGACATCAGGCTTATTGTGCGGTGGTCGGTGCATTCACTAGCATTTTTCTGTTTTGGGAGACAAATAAATTTTGACGTCAACCATTCATTGGTTTTCACCCAACTAATAAATTTCATTAATGAGCTTTAAGAGGACATCCATGTACTCGTTATGTATTATTTTAAGGATATCAATAGGCAGTTGAACTGACCCCGGGCTTTTTCCGTTTCTGGTGTCCTTTATTGCATACAATATTTCTTCCTTTGTAATTTCTATACTTGTTTCTCTGTCCTCGAAAGATATGTCTTGTAGGTTTTCTCTTTCGACGTCGAAGAACGTTATCATAGTATTTCTATTTTTATCTAAAAGAGTTGTGTTGTGGTTTCTTTTTTGTAGCCCTGCCATTTCTTTGACTTTGTTATGTAGGTTAAATAGGTAGTATTTGTTCTGAAGATCTTCTATCTCTTTACATTTTTCCTCATAATAAGTTTGTTCTGCCTAAAGCGTGTGAAATTACACCTCCGTTCCTCGAATTCAGAAACCTTGTATATCACATGTTGTACACAAAACAGAACAGAAACATTACTATTATTATTCCAAAAAAATTTGAGGTTATGATGACTCAATTATTATATTTCAGTTGATGAACTGAAACTAATTACATAAATCAATTAGGAAAAGCAGAAACTTGTCAGTTGCTACGAGATATTTTAGTAAATTTTTATGTAAAAAAAATTGTGTTACGAGGTTTTGTTACCTACCAAAATATAATCAAGTATTCACAATAATGATTAACGAGGTTTTTTTGGAAAAAAATAAGTGTTTTTATGTTTTATTTTTAGACAAGTCGAGCTTCGAGAATGGTCAAATCAACACTAGAAAGTCTAAATGCGAATCCTGATATTGACCAGAATGACAGTACTACCAATCGAAATTCACATTCTAAAGAGGAAATCGCAGAACTTAAGATACGTCATGGAAAAGATTGGAAACAAGCAAATACAGGCTTTGAATAAGTTTATAAGACCTTTTAAGAAGAATCCTCCAGTTTACAGCACATTGATTCTTCATCAGGCTATTCACAAAACATTCAAGTACACTCCTGTATTGTTTTAAACCCAAAGAGTACTGCTATTCAAACAGGATCTCATTTAAAAAATGACACCCAAAGAAGATGCCAGGCTAATATTAATATAGAAGATAGTGGTATGAATATTGATGTGAAGTAAAGTACTCAGGTGGAAGAATGTCAGTAGGGCTCTAACTTTTAATACAGAAAATGTCAGTGAAGCTGCGGAAAATCTACACTTTAAGACCAAAATTGAATTTGAAAAACCTTTCTAAGGATTAGAGTCAAGTTATCATCCAAATACTTCGTCGGATTCTGAAGAAGATGAAGCTGTAAATGTCGCCAGACGCAAAAAATTTAAAACGGCGCCCAAAGAAGTAAACGCTATCGCAAAAGAAAAAAATAAGAAGAAAAGACGCAGCAAAAAAGGCAAAACAGATTCTTCTACTTGGAAAAGAAATGTTCAAAAATGTATAAGAATATGTGGTAAAGAATATAGAGCAAAAAAGAAGGAGAAAGATGGATCTGTAGTTACCATAGAGAGAAACTACCGAGAAATGAAACCAAGATGTATTTTAGCAAAGGGTTTAGCAGCAAAAGAAAAAAGGAAATGTTCCATGAAAACTGATAAGCAAAGAATATTTAGATTAAGAAGGAAGATTTTTAATGTTTTTTGGTCTAAGATGGATTGGTATCAACGAAAGATATGTGTGTGTACGCTAGTTAAGAAACATCCAACAACGCAAAAAAAACACAAAATAAATCTCGACGTCATATAAGTTTATTTCATCTTTTGAAAATAGATAATACCTAATGCCGGTTTGCAAGAAAATATTTCTGCCACATTAGGATTGGGTGAATGGGTTAACAAATAATAACGTAGTTTGTTATGTATGGCATGAGGGAGAGGGCAAGACGAATGCCAACTCCTTTACATCCTGTATAATTGATTTTTTAAATGAATAGTTAGATACGCAAGAATCTTCTTCTTCAGGTGCCATCTCCGCTACGGAGGTTGGCAATCATCATAGCTATCTTAATTTTTGAGGCAGTAGCTCTAAATAGTTGTTTTGAGCTGCATCCAAACCATTCTCTCAGGTTCTTCAGCCATGAAATTCGTCTTCTTCCGATGCTTCTTCTGCCATCTATTTTTCCTTGCATTATGAGTCGCAGGATGCCATACTTATCGCCCCGCATCACATGTCCGAGATACTGTAGCTTTCTTTCTTTAATTGTAAGTTCAATTTCCTTCTCTTTGCCTATTCTTCTCAGTATTTCATTGTTTGTAACTCTATCTACCCAGGAAACCCTCATAATTCTTCTATAGGTCCACATTTCAAAGACGTTAAGTCGTCTCATGGTATCTAGATTTAACGTCCATGATTCCACTCCATAATATAGTACACTGTATACGTAACATTTTGTTAGGCGTACTTTAAGAGCTAATATTAGATCTTTGCCACATAGGACCTTTTTCATTTTTATAAAATTAGAACGTGCTTTTTCGATTCTGACTTTGATTTCTGCCGTGTAGTCATTATTTTCTGTTATAAGTGTTCCTAGGTAAGTGTACTTTTTTACTCTTTCGATCTGCTGACCCTCTACTATCAAGATTTCGTTAGTATTATAGTTGTTTTTACAAATTTTCATAAACTTCGTCTTTTTGACATTAAGAGAGAGTCCGTACTCCCTACTACACATGACTATTTTGCTCATGAGTCTTTCCAGGTCTTGTAAACTATCGGCTATTATTACTGTATTATCTGCATATCTGATGTTGTTAATTAAGACTCCATTTACTCTTATGCCGACTGTTTCATCTTCCAGAGTTTCTCGAATTACCTCTTCAGAATAGGCGTTAAATAATAGAGGTGATAGAATGCAGCCTTGCCTGACTCCTCTTTTTATTTCCATTTCTTCAGATGTTTCTTTTTCGATTCTTACTATTGCTCGCTGATTGTAATAGAGGTGTGTTATTAGCCTTAAATCTCTTTCATCTAGGTTTTTATTTTTTAGAATTTCCAGGAGTCGATCATGTTTTACTTTATCAAACGCTTTATTGTAGTCTATAAAACAGACGTAAAGAGGACGGTTAACATCCAAACATCTCTGTGTCAGCACATTGAAGGAGAATAATGCCTCTCTGGTACCCATACCATTGCGGAACCCATATTGAGTGTCACTAATATCCAGCTCCAGTTTAGAGTGTATTCTGGCGTGGATAATTTTCAAGAGAATTTTCAAGGTCTGTGACATTAAGCTTATGGTTCGATAGTCACTACACTCTTTGGCATTCACTTTCTTTGGCAAACACACAAATGCTGATGTCAACATTTCTCTAGGAATGATTCCCGTAGTATAGATAGCGTTGAACAGTTCTACTATTATGTCCAGGTTTTTCTCGTTGACCAACTTTAGTAGCTCGCTTGGTAATTCATCTGGACCAGCAGATTTATTGGTTTTCATTGAGTTTATTGCCTGACTAACCTCTGATTTGGTTATCTCTGGACCTACATCTCCCGTGATGTTCTGCATAAAAGAACCGTGACGCAAGAATAGGACAAACCAAAAATTTTTTCTAGCGATGGATGTTCTGCATAAAATCGCAACGTGACATTGGCTAATGCACTTCAGCATTTCTGCAACGAAAATGATACAGTAATTATACAGAAATGTTTAGTTAAGGGTCACTCGCAAATGGAGTGCGACAGTGTGCACTCCACCATTGAAAGAAAGAAAAAAAAATGCATTTATTCACAATCCAATTATGTGGAAATAATTAAAGAGGCCCGTAAAAATTCCAAAACTCCATACAAAGTTAATGATTATTTCAAAATTAAGTATTATTTATCCATTCGTCGAGGAAAAAAATGGGAAATGCATGCGTGAATAATCTGAGGTATTCCAGAGATTTGCCTGTCTAATTCAAAATAAATTTTCAAGAGGAGTGACAGTTTTTACCAGTTCGCAAAAATATGAATAATGCAGGAATCGCAAGAAAAATGTATAATGACCATTTGCCCATTACAGAAGACAAATTTAATCACCTTACCGTTATTCATCCAGATTATTATGGTTTTTATGACTCGTCGATCACTAATTTTTTTTGTTTTCAAAATATGGAAAATAGTTGGGTTTATTTTATTTTATATTAGAATGCTTATGTTACATTTCTTTAAAGGATAAACATTTTATTTCTCTTCTGTAATATTGTTCTTTGTGTGTAAAAGAGGCGTAAGAGAGCTGAAAATATGCTACCAAAACCTCGTAAAACCTGAAATTAAATACTATTTAAATTTCAAAAACTCGTATCTTACGTTATTTTTTTGAAAAAATCTAACATATTTTTCAAGTTTAATTATTGTCACAACTAAATCATTTTGTGGAACTACCCAGATTAAAAAAAAAACAACTTTAAAGTTAAATTTTCTACCACGGAATTATTTAGGTGATTTTCCAAAATACACAAATTTTGAGATATAAGGTTTTACATCTGAACGACGATTTCTACTTTAATAACTTAATTTTGAAAAAAAATTGACGCTTTGGCCAATTCTAATTTCCACCCTTTAAGTAGTGTTAAGTGGATTAATAGTAAAAAAGAGCAAATCAATCTTGATAATATTGTATTACCTGTAAACTTATTGGTCAAAATTTAAATAATTATAAAAATATGTAAAAAAAGTTGATATATATATTTAGTAGAAAAGTCAAAAACAATTACCCACCTAAGATATTGTCCACACTAACGATAGGCATGCACAAAATAGACCTTGTGATAAAACCAGTCTTCTCTTCCACGTCAGTGAAAAATTTAGGGTCGTTATATGCGTCTCTGATGTTCACAGTTTCTCCACTACGAGCGACTAAGCCAGCAATACTTCTGTCTTTAGCTAGGCGAACTTTTACATTTTTCTTGTGCATAGTAGTTTCACCGACCCCTACACCTTCTTCGAAAACTTCAGCAGCCAAATCTTCGGCTTCTTCGTCTATAATAAAAAAGGTTCCCCTTTCTGCTCCTAAAGTTGATTTGGCAAATTTCTGAAAATAATAAATATAAGTCATTTTCTAAAAAATATGCATATAATTTTTTATAAAGATAGCTAAATTTTCTAATTTGTAACGTGTTCAACAAGGTGCTGAAAAGGATGGGGACTGGGGAGCTCAAACAAGACCATTTTAATAAACAGAAAAACAAGTTATCTAGGACATATTTACGGGGGAGAAAAATACTCGAAGATACGAGAATTTCCTACAGCTACATAATAGAAGAGACAGTGAAAGGAAAGGGAGTTCTGGGAGGAAGAAGAAAAATCTCGTGGCTGAAGAATGTAAGATACTGGACATGCATGGATACCCATTAATTATTTATTAAGAACAACTCAATATATATATATATATATATATATATATATATATATATATATATATATATATATTAATCCACTAATCCACTAATATATATATATATATATATATATATATATATATATAATATATATATATATATATATATATTAGTGGATTCTCTTGGGCTTAGGTTCATAAAAAAAAATTTAGTTTGATACTAAGACATTTTTATATATTTTTTCCGACGTTTCGGCAGGAAATCCATGCCTTTTTCAAGAAATATATTGACTAAAAAAAAACATTCTATGACAGACATAATACGGTTTAAAAAATAAACTTTTGACTTACGAAGCATGTAAATATTAGGTATTAACAATTAGACGTCACAATTAAAATAATATTAAAACATAGGACATACCCACTAAGTCACTACAAGTAAAATGTATTTTAAATCTAATGTGTTATTTATTGATGTTAGTGATGGATGTTAGTTGATGGATTTCCTGCCGAAACGTCGGAAAAATATATAAAAATGTCTTAGTATCAAACTAAATTTTTTTTATGAACCTAAGCCCAAGAGAATCCACTAAAAAATATATATTAAGGTTCAAGAACTAAATTCAAACTATATACATATATATAATATATATATATATATAATATATATATATATATATATATATATATATATATACCAATATTATACCAATTTGTTACTATATACATATACATATATATATATATTATATATATATATATATATATATATATATATATATATATATATATATATATATACCAATATTATACCAATTTGTTTGCTGTAACTATCGCTAACCTTCAATAATGGAGAAGGTACATACCTTAATAAACCGTTTTTAAACGAATAGCACGGTTTAGTAAAAATTATGCTATGGTAAGAAAATATTTATAATAATTTTACTTCAAGAGAACCGTATAACCATTAACACAAAAGATTATTTACATTTACATAATTAACATCAGAAAAAAACTAGTAATTACTTTTCTACCGAATTAATACCTCGTATCAATCAATATTATTACTTTTTTTTGTTTTATTAAATTGAATAATACATTTTGACCGTGTGTCGAAACTTCAACCTGATTATTGTATTCATGCATATTTCAATCTGTTTCATCACAAACAATAAGAAGAGTTGATATAGCAAATGGTTTATAAACAAAATTAAAAAAAAACATAACACAGAAAAACAACACGAGCAATAAGTATAAGAGATAACATTATGAGTATCAAAATATACGGAAAAGGGTAAAAAAGTAAAGAATTCAAAGTCAAGGTCCAAAGATTTGAGCCTTTTTAATGATCTTCCACGTGAGTTGCGCAGATCCATATCGAGCGAACAAGATAGTCTGCTCTTGTATTCTGAACTTACCGAAGGTGGTATTTTTAGGTCTTGGTGGTCTGATTTGTAACATATAAAAAATTGCAGATCTGGCGATCTTGCAGCTTTTTAAAGCAAACGTTATCTGTGTCTCTTTTAAACTATTTGCTTGAACTTACCAGAGTTTAAGCCAGCTCTCAGGTTTAACTAGGTTGTTTTGTAATTCCTAGGATGATTAAGTTATTGTATGATTTAAAGCCATTACAACTGTATAGTCGCCTTAAATAGTGATTGTTGTATTGTTGGTGGTTGAGAGATTCGCTGTATATTAAGCCGGAGATACAAATGCTTGTTACTAGCACAATTGCATACCAGTATTTACTTACCTGGCGTAGGGGCTACCGTGATCAATAAGGCGGTTCCCCCAGGGTGAGGCCCTTCCATTGCACTTCGGTTAGGCTGACCCCTGCGATTATCCCTAATGCGGATAACTCGGGCGCGTAATTTTTGGTTACTTTTTTGGTTACTTTTTGGTTACAGCATGCTACTAGCAAGAAAAATCAAATTCTTTGCGAATAGCTAGCATGCCAGGAACAAGCATGCCAATTAGCAAAGGAATTTGATTTTTCTTGCTAGTAGCGTGCTGTGAGATGCAAGGCGCATGCGTGGGGAGTGTCACTGGCATGTCTGAACGGGCGCTACCTCTACGGGCATGCCAGTAGCTAGCAGAGAATTGTCAGATTTGTTGTGTTGGTGATAAAAATTAATCGTTTTATTTTTAAACTTGTTTATTTAAAAAATATTTCGTTGGTGTGATGAAAAAACTATCAAATTTATTGCTATCTATAGAGAATTGGAGTGTCTTTTGAATTCTAAATCATCTCTATATAAAAATAAAATAGTCCGTATCAATGCTTACACCAAAATTCAAGTGGGAATGGGTGAAGGTGTTACTATAAAGGAGATAAAGGCCAAAATAAAAAATTGCTCCAAGATTTTCTCGTCTACCAATCCAATTTCTCACCCAAATTTTTCTCTTTTTTGAGTTTCGCTTCGGAATACCTTCCATGGATCCCCCTTTTTTTGTTGGAAACTAAAAAACTTTTAATTACAAAACAAGTACTTAAAGCCAGAGATACACATGCCTGTTACTAGCACAATGGCATACCAGTACCTAGCAAGCACCAGCTACTGTCACCAAACTGGCAAGTGTGTACGTTAACTGGCATGCTAGTGCCTGGCAATCCTGGCATGCTAGCTAATCGCAAAAAAATTGAATTTTGTTGCTAGTAGCATACTGTGAGATACAAGGCGCAAGCGTCGGGCGTGTCACTGGCATTTGTGAAAGCGCGCTACCACTACGGTCATGCCAGCAGCTGGCAGAGAATTATTGTCAGATTTGTTGTATTATTATTTTTAAACTTATTAATTTAAAAAAATGTTTTGTTAAGGTGATGAAAAAAACCATCAAATTTATTGCTATATATAGATAATTGGAGTGTCTTTAAAATTCTATATCATGTGTATATAAAAATTAAATAGCCCGTGAAAATGCTTTCACAAAAGTTTAAGAGAAAATGGGTAAATATATTACCATAAAGAAGATAAAGGCCAAAATTAAAAATTGATCCAAGGTTTTCTCGCCTACCAATTCAATTTCTCACCCAATTTGTTTTTGAGTTCCGCTTCGAATTCATTATTAAATTTCTAACAATATCTATGTTCATCAGCAATATTTGCTATTTGAATTTATTCCGAATACGTTCCAATAATCCCCTTTTGTTTTGTTAGAAACTCAAAACCTTTTAATTATAAAACAAGTATTTTAGTTTCATATGAAAACCACTCGATTGTTTACTAGCACTGGCATGTGTGTACCTGGCTTTAGTTTCAAATGAAGCAACTGGCATGCCATTATACTTTCTTAATTTACTGGCATGTGTGTCCCGGCTTTAGGTAAAGAGTAAACCTATTATGCTTTCTTATGGAACCACAGAATATATATTGAAAACAGGTTGGTGAATAGCTCACCTTTTTTGACATATTTAAAATTTATTTTACGTCACTGTATAATAATAATTTTATACTTGGAAAATTTTATGCACAAGGTTTAATTTATGATTCTTACAGTAGTTAACTAGATATATGTAAAAGGTACTTTACCGTTTTCCAGAACAAAATCAAGTTTATTTATAATTGCACTGATAAAATTGTGTACGCAATCTTATTGAGTTCATAAAATTAAATTTATTTTACAAAGGTATGACTCATATATAACGGTTATAAATTGCGTCAAGGTGAATTTATTGTAAAGAAGTTTTTTAGATTTAAAATTTTAATAATAAAAAATGAAACCTACAGAAAGAAGAGTACAATGGAAAAGTCAAATTTACAATACCAAACTTTACTCATAATATAAAACAGATAGTGCATATTATGATGATGTAGAAGCTCCACCGTAGGCCGATTAGACACCAGCATATTCTAGTCTAAGCCGCAGATTCATATAGAATTTTAAACTGCTACATTAGCCTTTTTATTTTCTGTACACCGACCTGGGGATCGAACCCACATCCAATGAACCACTCGCTGTGAAGTGAGAACCGGCCGCCCAGCCCACTTGGCTATCTGACCGGCAATTGAAAGAAGTTACACTCATATTATTAAATGAAACAAATTGCGTAGCAAGTTTAACTTTGGTATATCAATTATAATTACATGATCATCATCATCATCTAGACTTAGCAATGTTTAGCAATGTTCAGCAATGTTTATTGCTGAACATAGACCTCCCGAATGCTTTTTAGCTTATTACAATTTTGTGCCATCTGAATCCAATTTGTAGTCACTATTTTTATGTCATTGGTCTATCTCATCGGTGTCGGCCTCTTTTTTGTTAGCTTGTATTCGAAGTTTCCATTCCAAAATTCTTTTTGTCTATCGATCATCAACTGCTTTTGCTATATGACCAGCAAGTTGCATTTGAGTGTATTTATTCTTTCAATAACGTCTGCTACTCCTGATCTTTTGCGTATAGTAGCATTATTATTATTAGTATTATTTTTATATAGAGCAAATTTCAACAAAATGAAAAGAGTGCTATGTACAAGGGAATTAAAATTGGAACTAACAGTTAGGTTGGCGAGGTGCTATGTTTTTATAGAAGAATTTTGAAAATATCGTGGACAGAACACGTCACAAACGAAGAGGTTCTGAGAAGGATGAATAAAGAAATAGAAATTTTAAATACAATTAAAACAAGGAAATTGGAATATCTCAGACATATTACACGTGGAGAGAAATACACCTTACTCCAACTGATTATGC